CACATCAGTAGCAATGACTGTAAGTGACGATCTGGAATGAAGTCAGCCCTTCTCCCATAATTAGGCCTATATAAACAGGGGCGCAGCTAGATGGGGGGCCAATGATGACCATGGCCACCCTTAACCAATCATTGGCCACCCCTGTGGCCACCCCTACCATTTCTTCCCTCTAATACCGATGGTGGCAGCAGTAATACTCTTAAGTGGAATGTTCTAACTTATTTAATATTTTAATTCTTCATATATTGACAACTATTTAAAAAACAAAAAACCCTTTGATTAATCATGCTCCTGAATATACTATCTTTAAAGATGATAAATACAGAATTCATGCTCTTTTCACAACTACATTTTGTCTTACGGGGTGAAGAGAAAATAACATCTATCTAAGTCACCTCTGAGTCTTCAGTGAAATTAGAGATAACTGCTTTAATAATATCATTGCTAACACATTGTACGTAACGGTTTTAATCTACGCTCTGGATTACCCATAATTCCAAGTCGTAGTGTAAAAAATAAAATACTCAAATACAGTGTTATTTTAAGATCTTTATTGCGGTTTGAAACATATTATATAAGTGTATTTTTTTTTACCAATCGTGTAATGAACTATATACAGTAATAAACATAGTAATTAAAAGTACCACTGTCTGCTTTGTTATTGGGTTGTGTTTAAACGGCTCAGCATCATGTTGAAATCTGTCATACAGTATGGTTGGGGTATAAATATGGTCCAGTCAGTTAATGTAGTATCAGGTGGGTTCAAGAGGATTTTTTTGCACCATTACATCTGCAGAGACGTCCTGGTCCACAATTATGTAGGGGCCCAATCAGGTGTCAGTGACAGGGCCCCTAAGAGGTTGGGGACCCCTAAGCAACTGTATACTCTGCTTACCGATAGTTATGCCATTGGGTTCTGGCACCTATCCCCTTTCTGCCACCCCTCAGTCTACATTGGTTATTGCCTGGCCACCTTTATTAAAATACTCTGGCTATGCCTCTGTTTATAAAGCCATAATATTTCTAAATTCAGAATTTAGAAAATTTTTTTTCTAATTATTATGAAATTTGAGCTAGTTGAGTGATTTTTATGACTTTCTGAATTCAATAACTGATATGGATGCACTTTTTCATTATATTTGAACTCATGAAAAGGCACCTGTAGCAGGTAACAGGGAGCTTTGGTGTTTCTAGAGTAGATAAATGTTAAGTTAAAATCTATTCCATCTTACCTGAGGGAGGGAGAGGATCACGCTCATGGTCCAGGCCACGGTCAACATGATTTTGCTCTTCCTTTTGGCCTCGCTGATCCCCAGCGGATTAAGAATGGCAGACTGCCTGTCCAGGCTGATAACCACAGTTACAAAAGCGCAGGAGTACATGGCCACAAGCTTCATGAACATGAGCAGCCTGCAGGCGGCGTCCCCAGCCAGCCACTGCACCGTGATGTTCCACACCGCGTCCACTGGCATCACTATGAAAGTCACCAGTAGGTCCGCTACCGTCAAGTTCATAATCAGGATCCTGACGTGCGACTTGCGCTTCCCACCTTTGCCGGCCGCCCATAGCACCATCAGGTTACAGACGGCAGACACCGCGCACAAAGTGAAGGTGATGATCACACGGACTTTAGCTGCGGTGGAAAAAGTAGGCAGCTGAAGCGCGTTTCCATCAGCGCTCTTATTGCAGTCCAAGGTGGCTCCCTGACAGCTGCCATTCACAGTTTGATCCATCAGCTGGTGGAACATAATGAACCCCCGGGGTTTGATTGACGGGAACTAATGAAAGCTGCACCTAGACTGGCTTTTTATCCCACATCTTCAGCTGGAGCTCAAACTGGGAAAAAAGAAAACGATAAGAGGATTAATAGTCTTTTTTTTTCCTGTTGACGCATCACGTGCGACATGAGAAAATAAAGATCTGTAGGTCATCACATCAGAACAGAATGTTAATAGAAATTGGCTGCTAAAAGCTTGTAATTAAAGGTGCGCCTAAAACATAATAATTACCTTCAACAACTGAAAAAATAGCTTAGGAATTAAGCTACAGATAAAAAAAAAAATCATAAACAAAATAAAGAACAAACCAGAAACATGTTGAGTAATTAACTGAACTTGTACTCTATCTTATATAATGATTTGTGCGCCTAATTTTAGGTCACTAATATAAATTTTAAAAAAATCTAAATGAGAGTTAAACATTGGCTTTTTGTCATAATTTGACCAAATATCTCTGTCTTACCTGGATGTATAGGAGCCGCTTGTATAGTGATCTCACTGAGCGTGTTTCCTCTGCAGTGTCTGCAGCTGTTGCTCAGTCCGCTTCATTCAGACGCTGTGATGCTCGCTGCTGGGGTCGATCTGTTTGCTACATCAGCCCAATGGGCTCAGCTTCACTGTTGAGTGAAAGAAGCTGCATTTAATCGCACAAAACATTTATTGGAAGAAAAAAAAAAAGGCAAAACCCGTCAAGAATTTTGCATTTGCAACAGAGAAATTCGTTTCTTTCATAAGACATTTGAGCTTTAAGATTTCATTTTTTACTTTGGCAGCAGCGCAGAACAACATAATGCAACCACTTTTGGCATTGACTTAATTATATTTAGTTACTGTAACACAATTGTTTTATGTCCTACCCTGTTAACATGACACTATTGTGTTAAAATAACAAAATATGATTAAGTAAATGCCAAAAACGGTTGCATTATTTTGTTCTTCTTTTTTTTTTATTATAGACGCAAAACAAATAGTCCCACATCAAGCTGTAAGTAGACTCACGTGAAAAGGAAAAATAAATATACTTACTAAAATAAAATAAAATCTATTATAAGCTCCCCATTACTGCAATGAACTAATAATCTGCTCAGTGGCTCATGTTCCTTTCAATAAATTGGTTGGTTACTGAGCCATGTGCTCACTAAACCATCTTTATTTGACCAGTCTGAGTGTATAAAATAGCAAATGACAGCAATTTTTAATCGCCATATCAACATTTGTTAAATATGTAAAATTTTGAAGGAAATCTAATATGAGGTTAAAGAAAAACAATGCATGTGCATATATATATATATATATATATATATCGTATATAAAAAGAGAGCCTATCCTTATTTTTTTTCCCCTGCAGAGACCTTTGTAGTAACAACTTGAAAGAAAACGCCTAAATACTGTAAGTTCTGTGGGATCCAGAGATTTAGCTGTTCTCCTGATTAGTTTTCCTTATGATTTGGATAGAGGGTAAAACGGTGCAGATGATCCTGTTAGAAGAATATGATTGTTCATTAAAGTTTGGACCTGTTCTGTATTGTGGATGAGCCAAGGGATTGGGCCATGGGGACAAAAGTCTCAGCAGAGATTTCCCACTACCCAGACTCCCCCCTCCAGCTCTGCTGAGGAAGGCCAAGGCACTCTCAGACCATCCTGGACATAGTCCTTTCAGCTTTTCCTGAGTCGTCAACTGGTCCTTCACCCAGTGAACATGCCTGGAACTCTTCTCTCGTGAGGAGTCCAGGGGGCATCCAATAAAGCTGTCAGAGCCACCTCAGCTGACTCCACTCGATGTGGAGGAGAAGAGACCACTCCATGCCTCTCCCAGCTGATCAAGCTCCTCCTCCTATCTCTAAGAGAGAGCCCTACTCCGCATGGAGAATGCTTGTTTCAGCAGCTTCTACCCAGAAAATTATTCTTTCTGCTGGGCAGAGTGTGTCAGAGTGGAGAGAGGCAGCAGCTGGCTGGCGCTTGCTCAGTTGGCTAACAGCTCGGGATCAAAGAAGGACAGTGGTAGATCGAAGAACTCTGCAGTGCAGAGTGCACCATAGTGGGTAGAGCTGGCAGCACCTGGCTGGTCTCTGCACTGGGGCAAAGTGAGGACAATGCAACTAAATTAAAATGTCTGTTTTTTTAAAGCCACCCACAAACCTCTTAAGATCATTCCCTACTTTATCCTTTGTCAACATTTTCTCTGACTTCCAATTACATTGAAAAAAGCTTGCCTAAGCTACACTTTACCCTGCGTAATAGCCACCTTATCAGGGGATAGGGTTAAAGGTAATATTTTTAAACTACTGCAGATTTTACTTCTCATATGGCTGCATTTGCAGCCACACAGATAAGATAAACACATTTTATGGGGGGGAGGGCTTTAGATTAATTAGTGGGATTTCAAACAGCGGCCATGTCTTTTCAACACTTGCTATTATCCTCAGTTTTTATTCCCTTGCCTTTAAAAACTAAATGTGTGCAACCAATCAAGGATTTCCTTGTTATTGATCAGCACATTTTTATTTAAAACTTAATAAGAATAACATTCTTGCTAGGGCTAACTAAGCATGGACACACTTTGTTTTTCAAGATGGGTCCGATAAATCGACTGTTGACAGTGGGGTTAAGAAAAAATGGAGATAAAAATAATAAATGTGTCAATCTGATTGTTTGCATTATGTGGAGTTATAAACGTTACCTCTAAATACTGAATAAGAAATACAAGTGGGCTTAATTAGCAAAGATACAGAAAAGGTTTATAATATGGATGCAGCAGAGAAGAAAAGTTTTTTTGCTCCCCCTACATAAAAAATGCTCGTGAGAAACCTAGAAATTATACTTTATCAAACAAGCACAGAGCTAGACAGTGGGCGACAGTGGTGTTGGATGTAGGAGTTTGCCCTGAAATCGAAGGGTTAACGGTTCAAGCCCCGACTCTGACTTTCAGTGTCGTTGTGTCCTTGGGCAAGACACTTCACCTGCATTGTCTACTGATGGTGGTCAGAGGGCCCGGTGGCGCCAGTGTATGGCAGCCCAGCTTCTGTCAGTGAGCCCCAGCTACAATGTAGCTTTGCCACTATCAGTGTGTGAGTGTGTGTGTGAATGGGTGAATGAATGTAGTGTAAAGCTCTTTGGTCAAGTCTCCTAACTTGAATAAAGGCGCTATATAAGTACATGCCATTTACCATCCAAAAAAGGTTCAATTTTATCATGCTGAAGACTTAAATGATTTTCCTGTTGTCTTCAGTATTTCAGTACTTTAGCTGTAATAATACTTTTGAATCATAAGCTCCTTTCAGGATCACCCTCTGGATAAATGTGGCACTAAATTAAATAATAAAAACACAAATAACATACCAAACAATGGGAAAATAAAAAAAGAATAATCATAAAACCAAATGTCCACTGTTAAGATACTTTTCAGGCTGGCCAACCTGCAGGGAGAAGGTAACCCTGAGTAAATAGGGTTCCAGCAAGAACCTAATATGAGGAAGTGAACCTGCATTAACTTGGATAGATATGAAAGTCAGAAAATCATGAAAGGACAAAGTTGATATTGGACTTGTACGCCCATAGGATTTATTTAAATTTAATATAAAAATCAAAGGAGATGCTGTCTTTTCTTACTAGTTGCACTTTGTGGAGAATTTTCTGGGGTACAAGGGTGGAGAGGAGTGGAAATTGCAGAGAAGTGCATAAGACTGTGAACAAAAGTGAGAGGGAATAACTTGTTTGATGCTGCAGAAAAAAAAGCAAGTTAAACAGCTTCTATATGGATAAGTAAAGGAGGGAGTGGAGATGTGTTTCCAGGATAAAACCAGGAAACAGGATAAAAGAGAGAGATTTAGGAATATTCAATGCATATTGTAAAACTGCCAGATATGGTTAGGGTTGACTTTGCACCAATGAGCAAGTGCGGTAGGTAGAAGGCACTTCATGCCTGGGAATAGTCTCAGTATTGGTATGGGATATATAGGATTAGTAAAGTAAATCTTGTTCTGATGCCTGCAAATATATGGCCCAACTAAAAAAAAAAAAAACTTCATTAAACCAATTATTTCTGCTTCTCTTTGTGCATCTTGAGCATTCTAAGGAAATATAAGCACTTTTTCATTGGCTAATGATGAAGTGAGATATCTATTCTCAGATTAAAATTCCTTTCTGCAATATGCCATTTTTGCAGGAATGACTTAATCAACATTTTATTGACCTTTGTTTAAATTCAAAATAATGGGAAAGGGAAAACCTGAAATGGATTTGGGCTTCGATAATGATTAGAGTTCAGCAGGAAGAAAGGATACAGGAGAAGTTGTTCATTCATATTTGTGTTGCAGTCAATGAAGCCATAAAAGAGAAGCCTCTAATATTGCTTTTTGGATTTACATTTTTATTATCATTAATCAGAAAACTTTGGCGAGGTAAAAATACTTTAATGAATAATAAGTGGTTTTAACTACTAGTACAATCATATGAATTATGAAGATTTTTTTTTTTGTCTTTTTGTGAATCAAGATAATTTGCTAATCAAAGCCTGCAAAGTCCAAAAAATAACAAAGGCTTACACTTATCAAACACGATAAGCTTTATCTTTCTTTAACAGAAAAACTCAGAAAAACTTTGACTAAATTGACTTATATCTGTTGCAATACAGCTTTACAAGGGATCTATATGCAGCCACAACAAAGAAAATACATTTTATACATTGATTGGAAAGACCATTACATTTTTATTTTGCATTAGCTATATTCTTTGACTAAAATAACTTTAAAGCTTTTGAAGTTGGATGTTTTATCTCTATGACATTATTTTTGATTCCGCAAAGGCATTGTAACTCATTACTTTTTAAAATCCATTTATATATAACATTCTTTCTACCTGAGATTGAAGCCCTTGGGACAATCAGAGACAATGTATCACCTTTACAAGCCTCTGTAGCTTTTAAAACACATTCTTTTAAGTACATAATAAATGAAATGCGACTATGGGGA